CTGGGCTGAGCCTGAGTTCAAGCGATGACGCATGTCTCTCATCTGAAATGTTAGGGATGGACCAGATGCCCTGGCGCTCTTTCTACCTGGAAGCTTGGTGATTCTACTTGACTTTTACAAGACATTATAAGCTGTAGAATGATGGGTACCAAGTGTTAAAAAGGGTTATTTGGGGGTGGTTTGCTTTCTTTCTTGAACATTTACATTGGCCTACTGAGGATGTATCATTTGGAACTATCAGAGGGAAGGGCTGAACATCTCTGCCCAGCAAGAGTGGCTGGCTGCTCTGAAGCCAGTTCGCTACCTCGTGTATCTTGGCAGAGCTGCTCCGACTGTTGTCTCTTCTTTCACAGCCATGGTTTTGGTTTATCCTGCACTTTACCCCTGAGGTCCCTCCCAGCTCTGAAATTCTCCCCGTCTGTTTTCCTTCACCACTCATCCTTGTCTTGGGTCACCAGTGCTGTGATCTGGTGAAATCTCAAAAAAGCTAGCAAGATAGCTGCATTGGAGGATTTTTAAATGCACGTCTGTTACTTTCAAGTACATCGAATGTCAGTGTGGGCTGGCAAAGGTAAACCAAAGGCTATGACTGTAGGGCCGGTTAGCAAATTGCTATTATTTTGGAAAAAGAGTTTAGTGAGTGTTCAATTAGAAGTGAAAAATGACTCGAGACTCTTTCCTGTGGGTGGTGCGGAGGTAGATAGGCAGCCCTCCTGAAATGACTAAAGGGAATCGTGGGCTTCAAGTCAACCAGAACTTACATTTAAGAGTGTTTTGTGTGTGGTTGCTTTAAAAATAATCCTTTATTGATTTCAGAGAAGTAGGGAGAGAGTCAGAAACATCAATGATGAGAAAGAATCATTGATTGGCTGCCTTTTGCACACCCACCACTGGGGATTGAGCCCGCAACCCGGGCATGTGCCCTTGGCTGGAATCAAACCGTGACTTCCTGGTTCATAGGTTGACACTCAACCACTGAGCCACGCCAGCAGGGCTAAGATGTTATTTTGTGTTTTGTTTTAAAATATATTTTATTGATATTTTACAGAGAGGAGGAAGGGAGAGAGATAGAGAGATAGAAACGTCGATGAGAGAGAAACATCGACCAGCTGCCTCTTGCACACCCCCTACCAGGGATGTGCCTGCAACCAATGTACATGCCCTTGACCGGAATCGAACCCGGGACTTTTCAGTCCACAGACCGACGCTCTACCGCTGAGCCAAACTGATTTCGGCCTAAGATGGTTTTTTAAATGGCATCTGTAACGTGGTCTTCAGTTGTTCCCAACAAAAGCAAGTCTGATCTACTAGAAATGGAACGAAACTAATTATCCCTGGAAACGTGCTCTGAAGTTGCCATACCTGTTCCAAACATCATGTGAAGTGCCAGGTCCATTTTCTGTTTAAGGGTACAGGTTAATGCCTTTAATATATTCACCAGACGTATGCAGTAATAACACTCCATTTCTCCCAGCCTTTGGCAACCACTACTCCACCTCCCGTGTTTGTAAGTCTTGCCTGGCCTTTGAAAGCCTCCCAAACCCCTGCCATCCTCCCCGGGCCTGGATGGGTAGGGGCAAAACCTCCCCAGTGCTCTGGCTCCAGTGTGGGTACTGGCCCTCCCCAGAGTGCACATGCCAACACCACTCTGCTAAAGGTACAGGCAGAACATGGAACTGAACAGACTCACGTGAAACTAAAATCTCTGCTTAAAATAATAACAGGCAGCTTGCTCTGTGAGGCTCTCACCATCCTAACTGGAACCCCCTCCCAGGTCCATTAGTTAGCCATGTTTCAGGTTTGCTTTGATGAGGAATGGACAAAGTCAAATTGTGTGGGCAGTGCTTCCTTAGCCTTCTCTGTCGCACAGAGATTACGTGGGTTACCTTTTTGTGACAGGTGCATGTAGGATGGGAAGGGGCAGCTGGAAAGCAGGCTGAGGTATAAAATGCTTAACTTGATTATTTTTTGTTTTACAACAGTGTATTTAGGACTGTGAATGTCAAGCATTCAAATACAGCACTGATGGCACCTTCTGGCCTGATAGAAATGTTCTGTGCTGCCCAGTGCAGTAACCACTAGCCACATGTGGACATTGATGACTAGAGACATGTGGCTAGTGTGACTGAGGGACTAAGTTTTTGTTTTATTTAATTTTAATTAATCAGTCTTTAAATCTAAATACACTCGTGATTACTGGCTGTCAAATTGGACGTGGTAGCTGTGATAAATCAGCGGTTTCTGGTATATAGTCATGTTACCTTAGGACAGCGATTTTCATCTGGTGTGCCGCAGAATTTTTAAAACACGCAATACGTGCCCTAGCTGGTTCTTCTTAGTGGTTAGAGCATGAGCGTTGGCCCTTGGACTGAAGGGTCATGGGTTTGACCATGCTTAAGGTCCCGTATCTCGATTGCAGGCTTGATCCCCGGCCCTGATTGGGACTCGTGAAAGGCAACGAATCAATGTGTCTCTCTCATATCCATGTTTCTCTGTCTCCCCACTCCCTTCCGTTCTCTCTAAAAATCAATGGGAAAATATCCTCCAGTGAGGATTAACAAAAAAGAAAATAAAACATTGAGTTCCTATGTAGTGACGATAACCAACACAATAGCCGTGCTGTATGAATGAATCAGAATTATATCTATTTGTTGTCAGATGAGCAAAAATATATTTTTTAGTAATTAGTTTATGTGTGTCATGAGATGGAAAAGGTTGAAAATTGCTACCTAGGAAATCAGCCCATCGTCGCTAAACTGATACACCTTTCCATACAAAAGACTCAAACATGTATGAAAATACATCCTTCTTTCTGAAAGCTGTCTGGTGGGATTAACTGTCTTTGGGCACTCCCTATTTTGCCCTAACATGTATGGTACACATATTGAAAAGTGTGGCAGTGTAGAGTGACTCTGCTTCTCACTGTTCCCCAGGCAACCCCTGCACCAGTGTCCTGTGTTTTTTCCAAGGACAGTCTTTGAAAGCTTACATAGATCAGCAGGCTTTACATTTTTTCATTACTTTTATTTCTGTTGATTTTATTTGTGTGTGAAACTGGTTGCCTTTCATTTATCCTTTGGGATAAACCCTGCCTAGGGAGTGAGAGACACATGGCCCCAGTCTGCATGTAGCTGCCCAGGGAGGGCCCACCGATCTACCAAGAAGTGAATCTCAATGGAAAAGCTCTTGATTATCTCATTTAAAAGAACGTCTTGACAATAATCTGCGTTTGTTTGGCTCCTGCTTTTTAAAGCACTGTCATTTTTATGATCTTATTTTTACTCTCGTTCAGAGTTTTAACCGTTTCTCCCGTTTGGTAGTCCTGCAGTTCTACAGAAAGAAAACGCTGGTTATCACAGGGATACGCTGGGAGTCCTCCTCCCTGAGAGGAAGGAACTAGAAGGGTGGGAGCATTTGGTTAGGCCATAAACGTTTTTTATCTGTGACCTTTAACTCTTGTTTATTGCCTCCATTGTCCTAGAGGAGAGAGTTCTTGTTTTACTGCACGCATGGAAGCCCTGTGTTGTACTGATGGCATTTTCCCCTTCAGCATGTTTTTTAAGGTCTCTTCTTGAGATTAGTAACTGATGCTTTAAAAGTATTTGTGAATTTGTAGTCACTCTCTGAACACCAGATTTTGCTGGTGGTAATTGACAAAAAAGAGTTTTAAGATTTTTTTTTTGGTGGTCAGATTATCTTTTTTTTTTTAATTTTCTTTATTGATTATGGTATCACATAATTGTCCTCATCCCCCATTCCCATTTCAAATCCCTCTCCACATATACCCCCACCCCCTTGTAGTCCGTGACCACTGGTTAGGCTTATATGCGTGCATATAAATCCTTTGGTTGATCTCTCTCCCTTTCCTACACCCTCCCCTAAATTCGTGGTCAAATTATCTTTAATTGAAATATTTTCTTTTGTAGTTCTTAACTAGCTGGGCATTCTACTGCACCATTATTGATATCATCTACGATGTCATGAAGGTGGTGGCCATCAACACTGGGCAGTTCCTAAGATCTCTTTAATGGTTCCAGACAGCTAAAGACCAGTGCTGCATCTGTCCAGCAATGTTGACAATCTCATCAAAAGTGGTATTTTCACTGTGCTTAATGGGTTGTTGTTGTTTGCTTCTTCCTTTCTCTTGACGGTTCTTCGAGGGCTTTGATGATCAGGGCAGAGGCAGAAGATACTACCCCAGTTTGGGTCTGTCTGTTCTGAATGGTCAATTCCACTGTAATTCTCAGACCCTTCCAATCATCTGTTGGCTTTGGTGATGTCATCACAATTGTTTTTGGAGACAGTCCCAGGGGCTGATCTTGGGAGCCGGGGCTAATGTGGCACCGACTTCTCCACTGTGCACCTGGGGTATAGGATTTTGATTCTGTTGGTGGTTGTACTTGGCGGCATGGTGGAGGTGGCGGGTGTCAGATAAACCCAGATTCTGGACAGCCGAAGAAGTTTGCACCAAGGTCTCCTGGAGCCAAAAGCTATAAAGACTTTTTATAGATATTTAGGGGTCATATGATCAAATTTTCTAAAGTACTGATTATATCTAAAAGAAAACAGTGTTTTTCACATCCATTTAAATATTTTCTTGAGTTTGAATTTGTTTATTTAAAAAAAAAATTATTTCAACCAAACCTTCATTGAAAAAGACACTATGAAATATGTTTGATGTCAGTTCCCAGAGGGGAAAGAACTGTATACCTCCATTGTGGACATATCATTGTGCTCTTTAAATGATCCCACCTAAATGCTCTTTCTCCTTTTTTTTTTTTCTCACTAAAAACATAGGAAAGAGCCACAGGTCAGGTCAGGATGATGTCTTTCCTGAACAGCCCCGTTAGGCACACAGTGGGTCCCAGGTGCTGTGCCATTCTGTAGCCTGTGACTGAGGAACGTGCAGTGGGACCGCAAGTGGATCCCCAGACATTGGGGCCTTCCCAAGCCTCTCCAGCTCTTTGGAACAGATCACTGTATAGTTCTTTCTCTCAAAGGAGCTGATGGTGGTGGATCATCATCCGGAAATGGGCCTGGGGTTGCCCCTGCTGCCCCTGCAGGGGCTTCTCGCTCCACCTCCCGGAATTTAGGATCTTCTGGCGGTGAGAAGGAAGAAGGCAAAAAAGTCCGGCGACAGTGGGAGTCGTGGAGTACGGAGGACAAGAACACCTTCTTTGAGGGGCTGTATGAGGTGAGTTATGGGACCAGAAAAGCCAAACTCCCAGCTTCTTACCACTTGTACTTCTCTTTCAGTTTCCCTTTGCCTTTTTTTTTTTTTTTTTTTTTTTTTTTTTTTTTTACTACATGGCTACTAGATCTACTAGGTCAGCAGTTTCAATGGGGAGCCCGGGCTGACAGGTGTGAGTCACCAGGGCTGAGGCCTCACCCTCTGACCATGGCCTTTTATCGCTTCTATTAGCTGGGGCATGTATGACCATGAACATCTTGAACATGTGACTTTAAAAGCTGTTCTAGAGAGGTGGCTATTTGGAAGTTTCTTTATGTTTCTCTCCTTTTCTCAGATTCTAACCATTGTCTCTCAGACATATTCTTAACTGCAGAGTGGTTCCTTTCTCTGGGGGCCTTCCCCTTGTAGTGGAGTGGGCCAGTCAGGAGGGGTGTTCTCTGAGGGAGAAGGGCAAGAGGACACCTGCCACATCAGTCAGCGCAGCCGGTTCAGTCCTAAAAGCTGACCTGGGACAGGCAGTAAAGTCCTAAAGATGGAGAAAAGCTGCTTCCGGATCCCATAGCTCAGTGGTTGGCAAACGGCGGCTCACGAGCCACATGCAGCTCTTTGGCCCCTTGAGTTTTTAGCAAAGGCCAGCTTAGGAGTACCCTAATTAAGTTAATAACCTATCTATATAGTTTAAGTTTAAAAATTTTGACTCTCAAAAGAAATTTCAATTGTTGTACTGTTGATATTTGGTTCTGTTGACTAAAGTGTTTGCCGACCACTGCTATAGCTCAAAGAAATGGCCATCCCTGCCGGCCATTTTACTTTATTTGTTTTGTTTTCAAATCTTTGTAATGATAGTAACCATGCTTTTTTTTATTGTCAAATGCATTAATATGATGTTTCATAGTTCTTTTTGTTCAGTACTTTTTTTCATGCCTATAAAAATTCTACTCTCAAGTGTAGGTAAATTCATAGTCTATGTGTTTTCTGTCTGCTTTTGTAAATAAAGCTTTATTGGAACACAGCATTGCCCATTTATTTATATATTGTCTCTGGCAAATATTGACTGCGGTGGTAGAGTTGAGCAGTTACGACAGATACTGTGAGTGGCCCCCAACATTTGAGCGTTAACCTTCTGGCCAAACCTTGCTCCACTTAACCATTGTGTTGTTCCTGTCCCTTCCAGATTATAAATAACAGTACAGTGAGTATCTTTGTGTGCATACCATATTTTAGGATACCTCTTTGGGCTATAGCAGTGGTCGGCAAACTGCGGCTCACGAGCCACATGCGGCTCTTTGGCCCCTTGAGTTTTAGCAAAGGCCAGCTTAGGAGTATCCTAATTAAGTTAATAACAATGTACCTACCTATATAGTTTAAGTTTTAAAAAATTTGGCTCTCAAAAGAAATTTCAATCTTTGTACTGTTGATATTTGGTTCTGTTGACTAAAGAGTTTGCCGACCACTGGGCTGCAGAATCTAAAGTAAGTTGGTTCAGTCAGTGAGCCTCATTCTTTTTTTTTTTTCTTTATTAATTTGAGAATGATTTGTTCTTCCACTTATTTATGCATTCATTCGTTGATTATTGTATGTGCCCTGACTGGGTTTTGAATCCACAGCCTTGATATTCAGGACAATGCTCCAACCAACTGAGCTACCTGCCAGGATGAGCCTTATCCTATCTAATAATCCTATCTAAGAAAAGGGTAATATGCAAATTAACCATCACTCCATCACAAATATGGTGGCGCCCAGTCCCCTCAGCCTCACTGGAGTCCCCCAGTCCTGGGGTGGGCTGCTGCCAGTGTGAATGGCCTGGCAGAATGCTTCATCGCCGTGCCAATGGAGGGCCTCTGGGCAGCGGCGCAGAGTGGCTGGGGCTGGACACTTGCTTCGTCATAGAGGGCCTTTGGGAGAAGCAGGGGGGAGGTTCCCAGCTTCTGCTGCCTAGCGCAGGCCTGGAGAGGAGATGGCGGCCCGTCTCCCTTGGAAGCAGCGTGGCTCCCAGCAGTGTGCTGCAATTCCCGGCCTACTGTGTGCAATATGCGATGGGCTACTAGTTCTTTTAATAGTGAAGGAATTGGAGTGATAGAAAAGTGTGGCCACACCTATGAAATAGTTTTATAAAGGAAGCAGGCTTTGAAATTCAAACCATTAGAGACACCAGAAAAGGAGAATCCTAAGCGGAGGCAGAGAGCTAGAACTGGGTGCCAATTTCTGAACATTCCTGGGGCCGATGGAGCAGTTTGCCAGTCCCGGATCGAGGATGCCCATGTGTTGGTGTCATTTGACTCAGTTGTCCAAGAAGAGAAGGAAGTGTACACATAGACTTGTTCTAGTAGGTGCAGAGTCATTCAAGTAAATTCAAATGCGTTCTGTTTTTTTCCTTCGGCAGTTTTAGAATAAAGTACAGAGGCTGTTTTAATATAGATTACCGTATTTTTCGGACCATAAGACGCACTTTTTTCCCCCCAGAAGTGGGGGGGGAAAGTCCCTGCGTCTTATGGTCCAAATATAGCCTACACATACACTTTAAAAAAAAAGTTTTTTTACTTGCCCGGCTCTGTGTGGTCTCTGTGTGCTTGCCCGGCTCTAAAATGGTTCTAAATACTGCTTTTTACTTTACAGGGTTGATTACATGTGTTTATGACTGTGATGTTGGGTTTTAATGCACATAAAATATTTTAGGACACTATTTGTTTCAGAATCTTTTTTTCTTCATTTCCCTTCTCTAAAAACTGGTGCGTCTTATGGTCCGGAGCGTCTTATGGTCCGAAAAATACGGTATGTCCCTAAATTGCCTACCTTAAGCTTTCTGTTAGGCATAGAAGACTTGTGATTCCTGGAATGTTCCTAGAATAGCATCCTTTGCTGATGCCAAGTTGAGACAGTTACTGCTTTAATGGGGCCCTTTTCTCTTGGGCTCTACAGGGCGATTGGCAATAGTTGTCAATTAAAAATAGGAGGGGAAGAATTCCCAATGACCTGGCTTTACCTTTTTTTCAGGTGTATTAGTTCATTCCCTTTTCATTGGGCTAGCCTTCTTGTTTTAATTTTTCTACCGGCTAGGTATTTCTTTTGAGGTTACCTGAATCCCTTGATTAGTAATAATTGGCTATTCTGATCACTTAATGCACATGTGTCAAACACAAGGCCCGAGGGCCAAATCCGTCCCGCCAGGCCTTGCAATGTGGCCCGCACCGCGCTGTCATCACTGCACTCCGCTGCGTTTCCATCACAATGACAGTTTATGACTGTTCAGTAAACCATTCGGCCCGCGATTTAGGCTGGATTTTAGATATTGGCCCCTTCTCTGATTGAGTTCGACACCCCTAACTTAATGCTTTCCACCATTGGTACTATTTATGCCAAATAGTGTGAGAGTGTGTGTGTTATTGTTTATATGTGTATTGGTATGGGTGAGAGAGACAAAGAGAAAGAATATGAGTGCTGGCTTTATGTAAGTCATTTTGTGTGTTTGACCAAAACTCAGGACTCTGTTGGGGTCTCGATGTATGCTGATTAGCTGAGGCATGTATGACCATGAACATCTTGAACTACGAGGTATGGAGGTAAAGGCTTCTGCTCTGCAAGTGTCACTTCTGCAGTGTTTGTCCAGGTTGTCATTGCCTTTTTTATACGTACAAGTCTGACAGAGACCTAGCTCAGCGCAACAGCAGGAAACAAGGTGATTGATTGAGTGACTTTCATGACTGGGAGGGACAAGGAGGGGCTGACTCAAGCTGGCAATGTCATCTGTCCTCTGACATCTTCTTGCATTGGGGGTGACATTTCTGTGCTTATTCTCTCCATTTGAGATATTCCCCAGAGGCAAGACATCCACCCCCACCCCTATTCCAGTTAAGACTGTTCTGAGGAGGGTCCAGGTTGGGTGAGCCCATCCTAAACTCCTCCCTGTGGCCAGGGTCATGGTCATGGTCTCCATGACAGAGGAGGTGAAAAAATCCTAGACCCACATCATCATCCTTGACATCCTTTTTCTCCATTTCAATGGCAGTTCTTCACAGAGCCTGTTGTCAGCTTTCCATTTTCCCATCTTATGTCTGTCTGACTGTATTTGCTTCTGTGGTCCAATTCTTACTCATAAGGCCAGTATCCTGTACTTCTTGTTCACCAGGTTGATAATTGCTGAAAGCCTCATCTAAGTGTAGAACACTATGGTCGTGCTAGAAATGGTTGGAAGCGCCCAGGAGAGGCCGAGCTGTCTTGAGCCTCTTATTGATAGGTATGGGGCATGCTGACGTCAGCTGCTGCTTGTTTGAGAGATTTTAGGAAAGTATAAAGTCTGAGCCAGGACAGGCCATTCATATGGAAAAGCTGCTGCAAACAGCTTGGATTGGGCTGCAAATTGGATGGGACAGGGTCTCAGGGAATCCCCAGGGCAGATCGAACAGTGTAAGCCAGGTTGATGGAAACTCAGGTATGACTGTCAGTCAGCTCTGTGATAGAGGTCTCAGCATAGGAACACTGGCCCCTGCAAGCATCTCTGTTTAGGAGAAAGCCACCCTCAAGTTCTTGCTCTGGTGCCAGACAATCCATTTCCTCTCCATATGTCCCTGGATCACTGCGAGTCATTGCCCCGGTGCTGAAGCTCAGAGGGAGCAAGGCTATGTAAGTTCATGCGCCAGCCCTTTAAAAGGGTCTCCAGCTGCTTCCGCCACACTCGGCCACAATCCCTGCTAGTTTTTACAGCTTGAAGTTATGGGGACTTCTGTTCCCAGCTCTGGAATCGTAAGCTGGGGGTCTGGTGTGGGGCTAGGACCCCTTGCTCCTCATGGGAGACCTCATGAGAGGCCTCTGCGGTCAAGGTGTCCCTCCTGATTGAAAAAAAATGCCACATGTGGCTGTCAGACCAGCCCGTTTCATGCCTCCGCCCCTCCTACCAGTCTCCGTGTGCTATCTTCTTTACTTCTCTAATTGTAGGATTTCTATTAAGCCAGCTTTCAGGAGGTTCTGAATGATGGTTGTTCCATATTTTAGTTGTATTTTGATGTGGTTGTGGGAGGTGGTGAGTATTGTCATTTACCTACACCTCCATCTTAGTTCTCTCTTAACTTTTCATTTTGAAACCATTTTAGACTTGGAAAACGTTGCAAAGAAAGTATAAAGAACCTCATGTGCCCTTCACTCTGCTTCCCCAATGTTCACATAACTGCAGTATGACCTGCAGATGAGGAGAATCACTGTGGGTACAATACCTTTACTGACCTGAAAGCCTTACTCAGATTGAGCTGGTATTCCCACAGACACCCTTTTTGGATCAGGACTTAGCTGTCAGACCAACTCGTTTAGTTGTCGTGACTGCTAAGTCCTGGAACAGGTCCTCTATTTCCTTCCCCCCCACTCTTTCATGACCCTGACAGTTTTGAAGACTCCTAGACTGTTAGTTTGTGGAACAGCGCTCAGTGTGGGCTTACTAAGGTTTGCCTCCTCATGATTCAATTTTCTTTTTAAGGAGGTGTTGAAGAACGGCACAATCCATAGATGTATTCCGAGCATAGTCTGTGTGCTTCTCTTGTTAAATGTTAAAATTTGCTATCCCTATTGAAATGTAGAATATATTTTATGTAATGAAAATGCTGAGGGTGCTTCTGAATGGTCAATGTCTTGTATTTTAAGATACCAGATACACAACCTCTGAACACCCCCGTCATGTTCTGTTCTGATGATTGTTTCACAGAGCTGTCTCATTCAGGGTCTTCAAAGAACTGTAGAAATTGGGCCATTTGCCTGCGTAATAAGCTTTATGTTTTTCCTGCTCTATGAGTCTTGCCTCTTTGATATTCACTGCTTTGAGAGTTCTCGCCCTGTGTTTCCATTGCTGCTCTAGCCGTTTTGATTATGAAAATCTGAGTTCAAGGGGAGCAAGGCTGAAGTTGATGCACAAATAAGAGCTGTGAAGAACTTGAGTGGTCACAGTGGTCCCCTTTTCTCGAAGTGTCTGCCTTGTTTTAACCTCTGTGCTTTCACCTTGGGCTATTTCCCAGCATGGAAAAGACTTTGAAGCCATCCAGAACAACATAGCTCTCAAGTATAAGAAGAAGGGCAAGCCCGCCAGCATGGTGAAGAACAAAGAGCAAGTGAGGCACTTCTATTACCGCACGTGGCACAAGATCACCAAGTACATCGACTTCGACAATGGTGAGCGTTCGAGGCTCGGTGTCCCGGGAAGCTGCGGGGCAGGGCTGGGATCTGGTCAGGAGCAGTTTTTGAAAAATCACAGGACACTCTCTGGTGTCATTCTTGCCTAGCCAGGTGGCCTGAGATGTTCTTTTTTTTAAAATATTTATATTGATATAATGTTAAGTATTAATTTTTTTTTGCTCTTTTTTTTAAAAAATATATTTTTATTGGTTTTTTACAGAGAGGAGGAGAGAGGGATAGAGAGCTAGAAACGTCGATGAGAGAGAAACATCGACCAGCTGCCTCCTGCATACCCCTTACCGGGGATGTGCCCGTAACCAGTGCACATGCCCTTGACCGGAATCGAACCTGGGACCTTTCAGTCTGCAGACCGACGCTCTACCACTGAGCCAAACCGGTTTCGGCTAAGTATTAATATTTTTAAATATACTTTCACATATATTTAACATTAAGAAAAATAAAACTAATTCAAGCGGTGCCGGGCAAAAAAGGGAAAATTTAAAGTGTGACGTCTGTCTGCTGTTCTAGTCCCAACTTAAGTATCATAGTCAACTTATTTTATTTTGGAAGGGAAGATGTAAAAGTTTTTTTCAATCATTCAGAAGGCGAGTATAGCCACTTATAAAAATAGAATGGCGGGGACAAACTAGGAAATGCAAGTAAGAGGTGAAAGGGTAGAGCCAGAAAGAAATTTTCAAAATAAAATTAACAAGGAGCCTGATCCAGAAGAGGGCTATGAAGAGGACATGGTGGATCCGTCTGTTGGTCGGATAATGATTCAACTTTTAAGACGGTAAGCGCCAAGCCTGTTGTGGGTTCCTTTCCGGTTAGCCACCCGATTTCACCGATATGCTGGTGGCTGGAGACTGACAGGTCCAAACGGAAAGTATAGTGTCAGTCACTGGTGATTGATGTGGCGCTTAACGTGGTAAATTATTCTCTTGTTCTTTTTGTTGGGTTTCTTCTGTGTTCAAATCTAAGACTTAGAGATGCTGGCGCATTGTTAACAAGAGGCGACAGGATCCTTTCCCTCCCCCAGCCTGCCTCCGCGGAAGCCACCACCATCGCCTCCTTGGCTGGATGCTGGACGAGTCCTCCGTGGATGTGGACTCAGGGCGACAGGGCAGCCTCCTTCTGTGGTTGCTGGGCTTGTGAGCGCTGCAGTGTCTTTTGGCTTTCCACATCTCTAAAACTATTTTGTGTACTTGGCTCAGTGCACTGTCCTCTTTGCTTTAAGGTTTTCCACTTGATATGAGGATGTAATAACATTTCCCATGACTGAGATGTTTTTTCTTGCCATTTAGCGTTGTTAATGCTCTTGTGAATGGTCTGGAAGGGCAGATGGCCCTCTAGAGAGACACCAGCACTGACTGCATAGGCCTGGCTCAGTTTTTCCTCCTCTGTCTGTGCTTTGCCGGCAAGTTTGCTGACATTGAATGACGCTAGGGGAGGAGGAGTTTTCTGTTTGGTCATCAATTTCACTTCTGAAACATAAGTTTATGAACAGGATGCCTACAAGGTTGGGCTTTCCCCTGGAAGAGGGACACTTTAAAGCCAGCATTTTGGATTGGTGGTTGACAGATATCGCCCTGCCCTGAAGCTGCCCCTCCTGGCATGTCTGGCAGGACACCTGGCCCCTAATGCCGAAGTATTTGCCCAGAGGAGCCACCATCTTGGGAGAGCAGCTGTGGCTGGCTGCAGCTGCAGCTGGTGAAAGCCGGGCGTCCAGTGAGCACTGCCATGCCTGCCAGGCCAGTTTCACCTTCTTTACTCTTACTCTTCATTTCTGCAGTTTTGGCCATAGATCATTCATTTTAGACATTTGCTTTTACTGACTTCACTTATTTCTGATGCTTCTCTTCAAATAATACCACTTTTGATCCAGAATATGAACCCTTGCTGGTGTGTTCAGTGGTTAGAGTGTGGGCCCTGTGCCCTGAAGGATCTCGGGTTCAATTCCTGGTCAAGGTTGCAAGTTGATCCCTGGCCCCTGTTTGGACGACGCATGCAGAAGGCAACCAGTTGATGCGTTTCTCTCACATCGATGTTTTTCTCTCTCTCTCCCCTCCCACCTTTCTTCCCTTCCACTCTCTAAAAATTAGTGGAAAAAGCCGGGACCGGTTTGGCTCAATGGATAGAGCGTCGGCTTGGGGACTGAAGGGTCAAGGGCATGTACCTTGGTTGCGGGCATATCCCCAGTAGGGGTTGTGCAAGAGGCAGCTGATCGATGACTCTTTCTCATCGACGTTTCTAACTCTCTATCTCTCTCCCTTCCTCTCTACAAAATCAATAAAATATATAAAATAAAATAAAAATTAGTGGAAAAAATATCCTTGGGTAAGAATTAAAGAAAACAAAACAAAAAACAACTGTGATGGCTGAGTTAGATCACTTCCCCTTTGAACCTGTGCTGTGAGTCCTTTGTGGCAGCCTTCTCTCCCTCCCTGCCCTGCCCTCTGCTGTTCTGGCCTGGTCAGTGTGTGCTGGCCAACTAGAATAATCAGGACTGACCCATCAGGATGCTAGGACCAGGACTGCCTCCTCCAGCTTTAGAAAGACCTAGAGAGCTTGAATCAAGCTGTCTCTTTTTTTGTAAAGGGTCATATGATAAATATTTTTGGCTTTGGGGGATTTGCAGTCTTTATCAAAATGACTTCACTCTCTTGTCTTAGCTCATTGTAGACACAATGTAAAGGAATGCATGTTACTATGTTTCAGCAAAACTTTTATTTACAGAGAGAGGCCCTGGGCAGGATTTGGCCCTTGAGCATTTGTTTGCTGACCCTGCCCTGGAGAAATTTGTTTGGGGGCCCAAGCCCCAGGCTGATAGCAGTTAGCTGATACTTTCTCTGAGTAGATTTCCCCTTGAATCTTCATGGATATTTCTTACCCACCAGTCATGGTTTCTCTGGGTCTGTTTCAGAGCTTTTCAGACCAGTCCCCCTAGGTCAGTAGTTCTCAACCTTTCTAATGCCTTGACCTTTTAATACAGTTCCTCATGTTGTGGTGACCCCCAACTTCATAACTGTAGCAACAAAAATAATTTTAATAATAATTTTTGCTACTGTTAATGAATCGTAATGTAAATGTCTGTGTTTTCCGATGGTCTTAGTGTCTTCAGCAGCGGTTCTCATCAGAAAACACAGATATTTACATTACGATTCATTAACAGTAGCAAAATTAGTTATGAAGTAGCAATGAAAATAATTTTATGGTTGGGGGTCACCACAACATGAGGAACTGTGTTAAAAGGTCTCAGCATTAGAAAGGTTGAGAACCACTGCCCTTGGTCCTTTTCTAGGTCATTGGTGTTCTCCCTCTTTCTGGTCTTGTTCTCTCTAACCCACCCTCCACACGAGACCCATGTCTGCCTATTCCCCTGCCTGAGCCCCCTCCCCCTGCCCTGTCCCATACCCTCATCCTATCTGTCTTGGCTCCCAGGATGGGCTTGCCACCCTCCTGCTAACCTGCACTTCTTTTGTGCCTTGTCTCCTGCCACCCCTACTCTGTTGTCCTCCCTAACCCCATTCACCTTCCAAGACTGAGCTCCTATGTCAGTGCTCCCAAAATCCTCCCGTGAATTCCCTTCTGCCCTCACTGCCACCTCATCATCCCCTCATGGGCCTACTCTGTGCCCATCATTGAGCACATTTCGTACTTCTCCCTGGAAGTTCTGTCGCCCTCACTGCAGATGAGAAAACCCTGGCTTAGCGTTGGAGGCCCTGGCCCAAGCCACCCAGACAATAAGCTGAGGAGCTGTGCTCCATCGGCCAGCATCTCACCGTTATCTTCTGTAAATGTAGTTTTCAGACCACCTATTCATGCTGCCATAGACTTTTCCCATGTTTTTCATGAAATGTTAATTCTTTGAGTTGACGTTTTTAAATGAAAACCTTTCCTTTTGGACTTAAAATCCACTTCTAGTGTTTTTATTTATTTATTTTTGACGAGTTCATCTTTTTAAAAACAATTGATAAAGGTAGGGAGGAACACCTGGCAATCAAGTGCGTTCTGCACACAGCAAGTTTCATCTTCACAGCAATATCCCGTATAAAGTGCCTTTTTTCTGCTGAGCTAGTTTTTGGCTCCAGCAGGTTCTGTCTGGCCAGGAATGCTCTTGTTTTTCACTCGTCATTTTAAGGTATCTTTCCGGCTCCAAAGCCTTCCACCAGCCACCTCGTGCGCTCCTCGTCCCAGTCCTCGCAGAGGACACGTCTCAGCGTTTGCTGTATGTGGCCAGGGACTGCCTGGGAGAGAGCTCACCATCCCAACTCCAGTTCCTCTAGTTGCAGGGGCCGCCTGCCCAGCCTGTTATCTTTACGGGGGAAGTACAACACAAGCATTGTGTTGAAGACCGTTAAACAGCATATCTGTTTATGTGAGATTGCCACGTTCTGCAGACCACGGAAATGGGTGTCCACTTTTGGGGGCAGTTCCTAGGTTTGACTCGGCAGGCCCTTCACTAATACTGTTTTATTGGTTTGCTTTCAGTGTCCATAAAACCGTTAACATAGGATTTTCTGCTGGCTTTGGTGTATTGTGGCAAGTTAGCAGCGTTCTGTTCTTCCTCAGGTTGGCAACACAGTGTCTGTGTGCTGCTGTGCTCAGCCATAGCCGTCACTGTTTCTCAGATCACTAGCTTGTTTGAAATATCAGCGCTGGTCTGGTCAGGATCCTGCTGAGCCTGGTGCTGCTGCTAATATCTGTGATCTTCACAGGCAACCTCCCTCCCTTTCTGGTGTCACTCGGGAATAAGTTTTAGCTGTTTGGCTCTTCCATGTTGTCTTTTACACCGTTCTTTTTTTTTTGTTACGTATCATATTCTTGGGTGACTTTCTGAAAGTCAGTCTGTGAGTGCAGGTCCTTCATCCCCTTTGGCTCTTCTGGAAAAACTCTTCCAATGCGAAAAGCGTTGTATGAGGATTGGGAAGCTGCTGGGGTAAAGTGTGGAGGCAGGGGGGGAGAAGATTCCAGGAGCTGTGAACTAGCATGTTCTGTCCTTTCAGCGAGACCATGCTATGGCAGAGTGGGCAGTGCTGCAGGGGACACTCAGATTCCCAGTGTAGCTGTCAGTGCTGAAGAGCTCGGGGATGAAGAGAGGAGGAGTCTGCTGCCCTCGGGTTCTATTCCTGTACTGTTCCTTGGTTCCATGGCAAGCTCTGCAGGATAGACCCAACATGTGTCCTTCCTTCCTGTGGCCTGTGTTTCCTTTTCTCCCTCCTCTCTCTCTCCTACCTTCTTTGCATCTCATCAATTTTTTTTTTTGCTGCTGTTGTCCTGATGTGCCCTCACAAGCAGTGCCTGCCTGCTTTCTGTTGAACTGATGGCTCTGCTGAGGTTCTCTAGCTGGTCCTGATAATGTCTCTAATGTGGTGACAGCCAGTTGGCCACATTAACCCCCTGGCCCATCTGCCTCTTTGTGCTGCCCTGGCATCTGCATCGGGGCTTGGCACTGTCTGCCATTTCTCAGCCCCTCGCCCAGCCCCTGACAACCATAGTCTGCTTTCTGTCTCTGGACTTCCCTGTGCTAGACATTTCCTGTAAAAGGAATCCTGTGGCCTTTTGTGTCTGGCTTCTTTTGCTTAGGATGATGTTTTCCAGGTTTATTCAGGTTGTAGCATGTCTCAGAACTTCATTCTTTCTTATGGCTGACTAATATTCCATTGTCAGGAAAGAATATATTTGTTTCTTCATTGAATAGTGAATCTTTTTAAAAAAAATATATAATTTTATTGAATTTTCACAGAGAGGAAGAGAGAGGGATAGAAAGTTAGAAACATTGATGAGAGAGAAACATCGATCAGCTGCCTCCTGCACACCCCCTATTGGGAATGTGCCCGCAACTAAGGTACATGCCCTTGACCAGAATCGAACCTGGAACCTTTCAGTCCGCAGGCCGACGCTCTATCCACTGAGCCAAACCGGTTTTGGCATGAATAGTGAATCTTAAAGTGTCCTGAATTTTGGTCCCCTGTGAGATCTGTGAATCTTTCAGAACATTCTGGAACGCTTAGTGTGTGAAGTTGGCCGAGTCCTAGGCTCTTTAGAGCCTGTCGAAGGTCCAGAATCCTTGTTTTAGATTATTTATTGCAAGACTTATTCTTCATTTGCTAATTTTTTTTTTCTTTTCCTCTTCTGTGATTATAATCACACATAGCTGAATGTTAGGACTTTGAAAAGGGGTCTCTGAGGAGGAACAATATGAGGGTGAAGGACAAATGACATGGTTTGCTGCTCTGAGATGATCTAAAAGGTACACAGATTGCACTGTAGCTGGGCTTCCAAATCACAATTAGATTTGGTTTCATAGAATACAAAACTCAAAATAACAGTGTCTCAAGCATGTCAAATTTCATTTTCTCATGTCGGAGATGCCTGCAGTGGGTGGTCCAGGGCAGGCACCAAGGACCCAAGACCTCCTGTCTTTCTGCTCTGCCATCCCTAGCACTTTGCTGGACTAAGATGGCCCCAGAAAGCAGTTCTGAAGGAAAAATAAGCGTAATTCTGCCCGAATCGCCTTCTTAAGGAACCTTTCAGAAGTGTCTCACAACACTTCTGCTCAATCCAAAGGCTGGGACTTAGTGGTGTGGCCTTGCCTTTACCCGTCTATGTTGCTTCCCAAATACAAGTGGGCCTCTTATTAGGGAACATTGGAGAGTGGGTGCGAGCAGTCTTGAACAATGGAGCTATGGTTCTAGCCCCAGGCCCAGGTCATGTAGATCAGTGGTCAGAGGAGAGACAACAGGTCAGCTTCCACAGTTCCAGGTCTGCCCGCCTCACACAGGGCTCAGGCTAATTTTGCAAATATGGAGAGAAGAGGATGACAAGTTTGGTGCTGGTCGTGTCCCAGCTCCTCTGCCTCCTTGGGAACCGGCTGTGTGGAACGTCCCATTTTCTCCTCCCAGGGGACTAATCTGCTTGTTAGGACTAATTTCCCCCCCCCCTTCTTTTGGTTTTAACTTTTTATTTTGAAAATTACAAAAACAGTACTGTGCTCCCATACACTCTTTGGCCATCTCCCCTGATGTTGATATTCTGTAGTTCCAAGGTGCAGTGAGCAAACCGAGGAATCAGCAGTGTGGAATGTTCCCCTCGCACTGCTTTTGTGCACAGGATCTGGCCAACTCCGAACAGCTGTTTTCCCCTCTTCTAAAACGTCATTCCTGTCTTTCATTTCAGTGTTCTCTCGAGGGCTGAAGAAGTCGTCTCAGGAGCTGTATGGTCTGATCTGCTATGGCGAACTGCGCAAGAAGATTGGGGGCTGTGAGTATGAGCGGCCAGAAGGCCCGCCCGGCTCCTGGCAGGGCCTGCTGTCCTGGCACTACTGGGTCTTGGTCCTGGTGGTCCTTCTGTTTTCCCTCCAGCTTTTGTCTTAAACGTTTTAATATACAATGAAGGAGAATGAAATGACTGCTGCATGCCTGCACTTAAACTTCCCGGTTGGTAACCTTAGTTACATCTGCCTGTGCAGTCACACCCTTTCTTCTCCCCCTTCACGTAGTTGCTTGTTTTCTGCTCAGCCATTTGACTTTAAATTGCAGACATCCTAGCACACCCCTAAATCCCTCACCCTCTGTCACCTGAGAACAGGACATTCTCCTACACACCTACAGCCCTATTATTACACCCAACACATTTCTCAGACAGAGAGCACAATCTTACCTAATATCCTGCCCATTCTCAGATTGCCCAGCATGTCCCAGCATGCCAGTGAGCACCTGCTGAGGACATTGCCCTGCTCGTGGCTGTGGTGTCCCTTTGGCCATCCAGACAGGCACAATGCCATCTCATGAAGCTGTTACGATGCTTTTGACCTAGCAAAGCCCCCACTTCCGGTCTTTAGTAACACTGGTACTTTGAAGTGTCAGGGCCCCTCCCTTTGCACTGTTCCGATCCTCTCCTTGTGACTAGATTCCCTTCCCATGTAGAGGGTGCTCTTGCCTTCCCTGGACACCTGTGCCCACTGCCTTGCTTCCTCATTTGGCCACATACAAGAGGGTGCACTCTTGCCTCTGCACATTTCACTTGTCTGCCTGTCACGCATCCACAGAGGCACTCTGAAGGTTAAATGAGAGCATATGAGGTGACCATAGACATCCTCTTACCAGTCACTTCACATGTCACTGCTGAATGGGCAGGTGGCTGGGGGTGTGGAGGCAGCAGAAGGTTGGGGATGATGGGCAGTCACTGATTGCTCTGCACATCTGGTGTGTGTTTGGTGACCTCCCCTCTCCTAAAACAGGCAACAATGTGTAAGAGGCTCTGAATGGAACAAGCAATCTGATTCCCTACCCTGTCCTCTCCACAGTCTGAGGACTTCTTTGTAAACCCCGCCCAGCTTCTGCCTTGAATGGTCTGTTCAGAGGGACTGTTGCGCCGAAGCTCCCTTGAGTCTCTACTTTCTCTTCTGCACCTTCTCTCTGCTCTAAACCTAAAATGTTTATTCTCATGGCAGTGTGTGGGTACCACCTTCTTTGTTAATGATTCATGACCGCTCCTCCATGCCTGCCACATCTGAACCGCTCAGCCAGAGCCTCTCAGCCAGTCTCTGATTACATACGAATCATCCTCTTGTTGGCTCCATGCCCTTGGGTAGCTTCCTGTTACCCCTGGGTTATCACCTGGCCCCCTGATCCAACGGCCTCTGCATTTGGACCTCAGCTCATCTCCATGCTGGGCGCCCCTCCAGCTTGGCTGCTCTTTCCTGATGGTAATGCCTGGTCCTCTGTCTCAGCCCAGTTACACGTCACACTTGCACATTTAAACACACACATACACCCTGGTGTGGCTTCTCCCTCTCATCCCCCACCCACTGATGCAATTGGTGGGATGCTGTTGTGTCATTTTGTGAATCTTTTTGAAGGACATGCTTCCACATGCAGCCTTCTGCAGAGTGCCCTGTACATGGCAGCCTCTCATAGCTGCTTATGGTAATGCTTTCTGGGCTGTTCAGTGAGTGAGTGTTCAGGAGGTCAGAACACGCTTTTTAATTCCTTTTTCTAACTGAGATAATCCATGCATATGCAAATCTTGAAATAGTAGACTTTGAGCCCCTGCTATATTCCAGGGACTTTGACACATATTACCTTGTGTAAAGCATCATAACAGCTTCATGAGATGGCATTGTGCCTGTCTGGAAAATGGACTGAGGACAGTCCATTCTGATGAAAAACTAATGACTTCAAGCCTCCTTAGCTGTTAAGTGACAAGGTTCCATGCTGCCTCCAGTCCTGATTTTTACACCCACGCTATTCCATCTGCCACAGCACCAGTGTCGGGACAGGGTGAAGAGGGGACTCTATGGTTGCCTGTAGTACCCACCAGTTTGCTTTTCTTTGAAGGGCAGTTTTTTGAACCATGCCCCATTTGGTGACTCAAATCCTAAAGTTGGGGTGGTGCCAGCCTTCTGTCTTACCTGTCTCACCTGTCAGACACAGGAAGATGGGCCTTTCCTCCCCTTTACCTATGAACTCCTTTGATCATGCTCACATGTTCACTAACCTCCACAGCAGGCTGGGCCACCATGTCACATTCTCAGCACTCCAGACCTTCCCTCATCCAGCATCACAACTGCCTTTGCACTTGTGTGTGCTTGTTTCCTTTAGGCCCACCTTAATGCAGGTCTGTGTGTGACCTCTTTTTTAATGAGCAAGTCTATAAGTTCGCCCTTTCCGGGCCATGCCTTCTTTCCTGAACATCATTTCATCTGGTACTGTTTCTCTTCAGCCTATAGAACTTTTTAAAAATTTTATTTTATTTTTTACAGAGAGGAAGGGAGAGAGATAAGAGAGCTAGAAACGTCGATGAGAGAGAAACATCGACCAGCTGCCTCCTGCACACCCCCTACCGGGGATGTGTCCACAACCAACGTACATGCCCCTGACCGGAATCGAACCTGGGACCTTTCAGTCCACAGACCCACCAACACTCTACCGCTGAGCCAAACTGGTTTCAGCATACAGAACTTTTTTAAAATCTTCTTTGTATAATTATGTTGGCCATGAATTCTTATAGTTATTTATTTATCTGAAGTCTTTATTCTTAAGATACTTTTGCTGGGTGTAGAATTCTGATTGAAAGGTTTTTTTAAAAAATATATATTTTATTGATTTCATGGGGAAGGAAGAGGAAGAGAAAGATAGAAATATCAGTGATGAGAGAGAATTACTGATTGGTGCTTGCGCGCGTACACACACACACACACACGCGCGCACGTGTGCGTGCGCACACACACGTGCGCGCGCACACGCACACTTGGGGATTCGAGCCCGCAATCCAGGCATTTGCCCTTGACCAGAATCAAACCCTGGACCCTTCAGTCTGCAGGCCGATGCTCTATCCACTGAGCCACAGTTAGGGCTGAAACATTTTTTTTCTTTCATCACTTTAAAGATGTTCCACTGTCTCTGGCTTGTACTGTTTCTGGTGAGAGGTCACATCTATGTCCTGGTTCCTCTTGAAGAGATGTTCTTTCTCTAGCTGCTTTTAAGGTTTTGTCCTTGTCTTTGGTTTTCAGTCTGGCTGTGTGTTTGTACTACTTCCTCCCTGCCAAAAAAATATATATAATCATTCAGACTTTACAGTGAGCACCCAAACATTCACCATCTAGATTATCCCATTACCTGGTTTCTTGACTTGCTTTCTCGCATGTCCCGAGGACAGTACTAAGTACCTGGAGGGCAGGGGGAATGTGCAGTCTCTGGGCTGATCATCCAGCAGACCCTGTGACCTAGGGCTCAAAGCTGACTAAGGCAGGCCCGCAGGAGAAACGTGCGCAGGGCGCAGTGCTTACTAGAGGAAGGAGTCTCCAAACTCGCAGTTGAGGACGAGTGGAGGTTCAGCATAGCCCAGGGGTCTGAGAGAGTGTTTTGGGATGAGTGATCATCTGTGCAGAGTCAGATAGCAGTCCCATGAGAAAGTCTGGGTGTGTGGAGAGCACATGCCTTGTTTTGACTTGGAGGGAGGGGCTGCAGCTAACAGGGGTTTTATTTGGAAAACCTTAGATATTCTGTTTGGATTCTACAAGGAAGATAATTATATCTTCACTAGTTTTATTCCTAACTGCCCCAAAGTCATGTTATTTCTTTTTCTGTTTAAAGGTATGGATGACAAGAATGCCACAAAGTTGAATGAGCTCATTCAGGTTGGGTAAGTACAAATTACATTATGAGACACCACCTGCTCATGTTGGGCATTTGCATTGTTCTCTGAAGTACAGAACTAGAAATATTCACCTGTCCCTCCCCTCACCCCGCCAGAGCTTCTGCGCTTTCACCCGGAACACTCTGTTCCTTGTCTTAGGTCAACTCCCCCACCACCCAAGAACTCTGCTGGTCAAAGTTCAGCTGTCCTGTAGGTCGCACTATCTCTTGGAACAGTCTTCACTGGCCTCTGCTATATCCGCAGAGCACCGTCTTCCTGTACTTCTGATTCTTGTCTCCCCCAGCCCAGGGTTGGATGGCCTGTGAGCCCTGTTTCTCAGGTGTGAGCTCCTGCTAGATGGGGCTTGCTGTATGTGCTTCTGCTCTGGCTTTAGTCCAGCGTGGATGCTTTTACAGATGTTCGTGTTGCATTCTTAAGGCTTTATTTCTATGAACTGCTACCCTTTTGCAGCCAGTCATGATAGTAACTAGGATGTACATACCACCACATGTGAAAGAACAGACTCACTTCAACTGCCAGAAGTGTAGGTAGTCTTAACTACTGGTGGTGTTGGGCAACGGGAGCCGTGGAGGGTATCGTCAGGCAAGTAGAAAGAGGCCACTGCCATGGGCTTGTGGATCATTTGTCACCTCCCCACTCCATTTACCTGTTGCTCCAGCATCCCATATTTCTTCCCACCCTTACACCTGCCCTGCATTTGTCTGGTGGAAGCTGTGTTTGCTCCAAGATTTGGACTATCTGAGTGGTACTATGTGCATCTGAGGAACCTTGTTAAGTAGGGGAAATATTCTTGGCTGTGATGGTTTCTGATATTACTGACTCTAGTAGGTGAAGGAGCATGCTTCCTCTGTGATTCAGTCTTTTGGGGCAAATCTCACTTCACCTTTTATTTCAGTTGTCTCAGATTCGTTGGGTGAGCAGGTATTCCTAGCTCTTTGCTTTGGAGCTAGTTTGATGGAATGCAGTGAGTTTGCTTGGCTCTGTCTTAGTTTTTCTTTTTTGTGATAGCACAGAGAGGAGAGTGTCCTACATGAGAGTGAGAGGAAGGAATGTTTTGATAAGTTTGAAAATGGCCAGAGGGTTGTTTTGGGGGGCTGCTGGAGGTTAGAGAGCACCAAAGCTCCAAGCTGACAGTCTGAAGGTACCAATAAACCCAGGAGCAGAGTTGAGACTTCTCAGTCTCGGCAAGTAGATGTCTCAGTGAAGCCCCAGGTGAGATGATGGGAAGGATGTTTCCAAATCATCAGGGTTTCAGGAGTGTCTACATCATTGTACTATGTGTTTTGACTCCTTACTTAGTAATATAGTATTGAGTTACAATTTACAGGAAACATAGATTTCCATCAGCTTATACTGATAGAATCGATGATTGATTGATTGAATGAATGAATGAATGAATGAAGGACAAGATGCTAATTTTCCATGCAGAATTCTACTTAATTTATGTAGATACTCTTCCCTCAAGGAGGGGAGCATAGCTCCCTTCCCTTAACGGTGAGCTGTTCCGAGTGACTTCTTTCTAAAGATGACAGTATAAGAAGGGGGTGGGGAGGAGCATAGAATGGCAACACCTGACAGAGACAACCTCAGTCAGATCAAGGTCTACGCCAACTGTGATAATCCAGGTTGATGGCATGGAGAGACATGGTTCTATAAATAGGTCTGCTCTCCCTAAATTAATCCACAAATATTATACATGCAGTTGCAATCAGAATCACAGTGCAGTTTCTTTTAATATTAAATTGAAATATTAAGATATTTCTGCGGGAAAATGTATAGACCTTAAGTACATAACTTTTGGATTTTCACAAAGTGGTCTGAACCAAATCAAGAAACAATAAATGTTACACTACCAGTCTTCTCAAAAACCTCCCTTGTGCCATTCGCACTCCACTTGGCTCAAAGTAAGAAGAAAGGAAATTGAAATGGTATCATGCTTCATGACTGCATGGAGAGGTCTGTTTGCAAACAGCAGTGACAGACCGTGAGTTTGTAACATGTCCCACTCATAAGTATGTAAACCCTCTGGCTGTGGTCGCACTTCTAGGAAATAATTAGGTCAGGGTGAGCCGTTCTTGTTAGGATGTACCTCACAACCGTGTTCATGTTAGCAAAGGGGTATCAAGAGTAAAGAGCTGCCCCAACTGGTTTGGTCCAGTGGATTGAGCATCGGCCTGCAGACAGAAGGGTCCCAGGTTCGATTCCTGTTGAAGGCATGTACCTTGGTTACGGGCATATACCCAGTAAGGGGTGTACAGGAGGCAGCTGATCGATATTTCTCTCTCGTCGATGTTTTTAACACTCTATCCCTCTCCCTTCCTCTCTGAAAAACAACAACAACAACAACAACAACAACAATAAAATATATATAAAAGAGTGAAGAGCTGCTTCAGTGTCGGGCAGGATTGTTTTCAGAAGCAAGGCCGAGCCAGTGCCTGTGTGACTGCGTGGCTGAAACAGGTCCTTTGGACACATAACCCCACACTTATACCAGGGCTCTCTTGGGGTAGTGGGTACATGGTTACCCCCACTTTCTACTTCCTACTTTTAAAAAGAAAAACATTTAATAAGAATGTCCTTTTATCAGGAAAAAAAAATTCCATATTGGGAAAGATGTTCTTTTATTAGTTTTAAATTACTATGATCAAGTTTTCTCTGTGGGGATATATTTATAAAAATAACATTTATCTGTATTTCTGGCAACAAATATGTAACATGTGGCTTAAGGCTTGGTTGGGCCCTGTTGTATATTGATGCTGTTGGCAAAACCCTGTAGGAGCCTTTGGAAGTTTGTGTGAGGAGAACCTGTCCCTCAGTGAGGTCTGGAGACCACAGGTGTCAAACACCATCAGGATCTGGCTCCAGCAGAGCCCAGAGGCTCTGGACTGAAGGAGAGTCCAGCAGAAGGCCTGGCACCCTCTGCGTCTTTCCTGTTTCTTTTCCTAGGCCCCATGACAGCACCTGATGTCTAGGGCTCAGGAGTACTGCTGAGGGACTGGCCTTTCCTTCTGACCGTTGCTGCCCCTCCCCTGGGTCACAAGCTCCTACTTACCCTTTGCTACAAGCTCCGACGCCACCCTCAATTGAAATAGCAAAGTCTGCAGGTCACATATTCTTCATTTGTGACTCGTCAGCACAGTGCTCCTACCACTGCTGTTGGTGCTTACCTCTCAGTATCCTCACCAGCCTGTAGCTCAGAAAGGGTCTCCACTTCAGCCTGATACGTTGGGGCAGGCCCCAGGCCTTGCTCAGTCCGAGTCCCACAGACCCTCTGACGGTCCTGGGCAAGAAGGACATTGATGCTAGTTGCTGCCAGCTGTTTTCTCCATTGAGATAAAAGAGCACTAAGAAGCAAGACAACTGTTTTGTTACTCTTTTAGAAAATCCTATAATAAAGAGGTAATATACAAATTGACCATCATTCCAACATACAAGATGGTCGCCTGCATGTGGATACAAGATGGCTGGCAGTGGAGGGCAGTTAGGGGCTACCAGGCCAGCAGGGGAGGGCTGTTGGGAGTGATCACGCCTGCAGCGGAGGATAGTTAGGGATGACCAGGCCAGCAAGGGCAGTTAGGGGTTACCAGGCCGGCAGGGAAGGGCAGTTAGGGGGTGATCAGGCTGGCAGGCAGAAGCAGTTGGGAGCCAGCAGTCCTGGATTATGAGAGGGATGTTCCAGATTGCAGAGGGTACAGGCTGGTCTGAGGGACATCTCCCCCTCCCATGCACAAATTTCGTGCACTGGGCCTCTAGTGTTATAAAAAAAGTTTAAATATTAGAGAAATTGATAGAATGGTACAGCAGCCACCTGCATACCCTTCACCTGAATTTACCAGTAGATGTCAAGAGAATTAGATGCTCTTTTTCATAGAGGCTAGTGTCAAGGTAGCTTGGGTAGTCCTCATTCAGTACGTAGTGAAAAAGATAAACAAGAATTTCAGCCATTGGTGGACATATGCAGTGCCGCCTCTGAGATACACTGCTGAGTGATCCAGCTGTAAGGAACCCATAAGCTGGGTGTCTCCAGCTCTTAAGGGTCTCACCTGCTCACCTGACTACTCTGGGCTTAGATGCCCTACCCGTTACATTGCCATCTCTCGGAGAGGTGCTTTGAGACACCCAAGAAAGGGTTTGGAACAACATAAGGTGGTGTGCCAGCTCAGTGAAAACTTATCTATCTGAAGCCACAGAGAGATCTGAGGCAGAAAGCCTCCTGCCTGGCATGTTCATCATAAGTTCTAGAAGGATTTAAGTACCTTAAAATGTGTGCTAGGCACAAATATGGGTGCTGGTTATGCAGTGCTAGTAGAGCTGGGGCAGGGCAGCTAATGGAGCTCACTGAATCATTTTGTTGGAGTGTGGGGTGGGGTTGGGGGAATCTGTGAACAGGGATGGGCAGGGGTGATGTTGGGCCAGGCACCTCTGCAGGCTGAATAGGAATTTGGGGATCCGGGTAGTCTTGGCAAGAGTCTCAGAGGAGCAGAGCCCCCAATTCTGGATGAAAGCATTCCTCTAGTTCTATATATATAGGAGCAAGGCAGGATACATAGTATCCATTTTTTAAACAAATTTTATTTTTAGTCATTTTAGGTTTACAGGATAAGTGAGTACAGAATTTTCCTATATACCCCCTTTCTCTACACATGTTCTCATTATGAGCATCTGATATTAAATGGTACATTTGTTAGAATTGATAAGGCAGTATAAATGCATTATTAGCTATTGCAATAAAATCTTTCAGTTGATGGTTGTTAGCAGCATTCAGTGCCAACCAGGAATCCCCAGTTTGGGGTGTGGTAAAAAAGGAAACTAGAGGCCGAAACCGGTTTGGCTCAGTGGATAGAGCGTCGGCCTTCGGACTGGAAGGTGCAGGGTTTGATTCCGGTCAAGGGCATGTATTATACATTGGTTGTGGGCACATCCCCAGTGCGGGGGTGTGCAGGAGGCAGCTAATCGATGATTCTCTCTCATTAATGTATCTAACT